CAGATTCCTTTTTTTATTACGCTGCAAGTAGTAGCTGACACATTATCTGTATTTAAAAGGGATAAAACAAAGTTCCTGACAAAGTATAATGACTTACATCCCTTGCTCAGTGACAAGAATGCCTCTCCGGATGATAGTGGTAGAGCAGGAGTTTACCCTCTTGCACTCTAGGGACACCTGAGAGTGAGGCCTCTTCAAATATTTCCCATCAAGTGCTTTTAAACACGGCAATTACTGTATTTTCCAGCATACAGGGTGCGCTCCCCCCACAATAAAAACTAAAATCACCCTGCGCCTTATATGCTCAAGGTCAGGGTAAAGGGTAGGCTTTGGGTTACGCTTCAGCAGTTTACTAACGTTACGTTGCAAATGTTTGGAAACACACTCACATGCTCGTGTGTCTTATATGCCGGAAAATACGGCAAGTCACAATAATAATGAAGTTAAACTTGTATAACTTCCGTCCCACAAGAGCAACCACACTCGTCCACTTCCCACCGTGTTTACCAACAAATTTACTTGTGGTGAAGTAATCCATGCACAGTAATAATTGATTGTTCCCAACTCTTGGGGCAGTAACACCGGAGTCACTCTCACATCATGAACAAGCACGAAGGGATGCGATGGATGATTCATCTTATAAAACAGGCTGACTTAACCTGCTGAGACGAATGTAGTTACTGCCAAGGAGTAACGTGCAATGCTAGGTAAGGTTCGTCAGCAAACAGGACAAGTGTTTCCTGATGTGGGTCTTAGTCATATGATGACCTGCAGTTGGAGCTTTTGGTCATCCGACCGAGCCTTCCGCTGGCTTACCGGTCCACCGCTTTAAAAATTATGGTTATTATAACGATTTTTATTATTATTACATGTTATGCTGTTTTCTTCACTAATTCTTTCGAAGATGATATTGTGATGATGAAGAAAGACTGACAGAGAGAGAATCTCAGTTGTCGTTATCGACAGTGAAAATAATTATATTACTGACAATAATGATGGGAAGATAAAAAATATGACTGCCGATACAAATACCGATACTCACTTTTAGATCGATACCAATACCACCACAATTAGCCGATACCAATATTTTAGCATCTAAATAAAAACATTTAGATTCATCATACTCTTTAGATGTTCTGCAAGAGAGTTACGTGTATATATAATTTACATATTTTCTTTCATTAAAGATTTTCAACTAAGGGATGATACAAGGTGAAAGAAACAGTCATGTGTACATACGTGCTGGTCAGTCACGTGTACACGCACTGAAGTGTGCATTACAACGGCCGGGACGAGTATACACGAGTAGTTGTAACTAGTTTACAACCCTTAACTACCATGCGGCGGCAACAACCATCCCCCTCAATACCTCCACGAACCCTTAACAAAAAAGTATACTCGGCAATGTATTATTATTATTATTATAATCAAAAAGAAGCGCTAAGCCACAAGGGCTATACAGCTCGGCAATGTATTAAAAATTATAATTACACAAAAAATAACTATAACAAAAGTTACTATAATTAAAATAAAACCCCGAAGGGAACAATTACGAAGTAAACTATAAACTTTTTTAGGTATTTATTTTCTGATCGAAAAAGAGACGGGTTAAAAGCCAGAGGAAATTCTCCGTGGAGAGTTTTATTTTTCTCCTGTTTTGGGAGTGAAGCGAGGCTCCGTGTCTGGGAAAATAGCCCCAGACAGCATAAATAACTATCTAACTACTGACCTCATCGTCCCAATCTGAGGTATGAAAAAGCCCCGCTCATCAGAGACCAGCAGGGAGGTCAGATTAGGGGGAAAAGACGGGAAGGAGGGAGGGAGGAAGGAAAGGAAGGGGTAGAGTGGGCGGCGAGAGTGAATTTAGGAGGACGTGGAAAAGGAAGAGAGAGAAAAAAAATAGGCAGGGAAGGCAAGTGACGAAGATTTAATAAGGATCAAGATAAAGAGAAGGACAGAGTGGAAAAGTATAGGAAAGATGGCGAGTTTAAGGACGGTAAAGACGAGAAGGTGTGAGAAAGAGGAGAAATTAAGACAGTGTGAAGAGGACCATGTACCAACACAGCTAGAGAATAACTTACTATGTCTCGCAGCCCAGTAAATCACATCAAACTTATCTCCAGTGACCTAGCTGTAGATATTTACCTGCAATTACCTATCTGTAGTTACTTAACTGTAGTTAGAAAGAATCTCGTGGTTAGGCGAATGCTCTTCAAGGTATTTAGCTTCATTAACCGTGATAACGAGCCTGGCCCACGGCCGGGCTCCGGGAGCAGAAAAACTCTCGAAACTCATCAGAAGTATATCAAATGTACACCTTCAAATTTTTTTCCTCCATGCACCTTCTTTTAAGTAATACAGGATCACACCTTCCCATCCTCCCGGCTGCAGAGTCTTCAGAATATTTCGTTTTTGTGTTATGTATAACATTTTGAGTGTAACTGGACACCGAGAAGCGTGTGTACCTATGTATAAACACCGAGAAGCGTGTGTACCTATGTATAAACACCGAGAAGCGCGTGTACCTATGTATAAACACCGAGAAGCGCGTGTACCTATGTATAAACACCGAGAAGCGCGTGTACCTATGTATAAACACCGAGAAGCGCGTGTACCTATGTATAAACACTGAGAAGCGTGTGTACCTATGTATAAACACCGAGAAGCGTGTGTACCTATGTATAAACACCGAGAAGCGTGTGTACCTATGTATAAACACCGAGAAGCGCGTGTACCTATGTATAAACACCGAGAAGCGTGTGTACCTATGTATAAACACCGAGTGGCTTCTAATATACACAGAGAGGTGTACGCCTCTATATATATATATATATATATATATATAATATATATATATATATAATATATATATATATATATATATATATATATTATATATATATATATATATATGTCGTGTCGAATAGGTAAAATTGATCAATTAGCAAGAATTCATTTAAAATTAAGTTCTTTCTAAAATTTTCTCTTATACGTTTAAAGATATATTTTTTTTCATTTATGTTAATGTAAAAATTAATAATTTTGTGCCTAAAGAACCTTACAAAACTTAGCTAACCTTATAACAAGTGCAATTTAATTTAGCCTAGTCCAACTAAATATATTTTAGATAGTTTACATTAATTTAATAATAAACAAACACAATGAAATATATTTTTTATTCGTTAGGTTCAGAATAATTTGTGCGAAATTATTGCATACACAAATTTTCACTTGCCTTATTCAGCAAGGAGAGCGTTGGTATTTAAGGCAGAAACTAAGATACCGAGGAAACGGGGGAGAAACAAGAATGAGAGAAGGGACGAGAAATAGTAAAAGAAGAGGAAAGATAAAAAAGATGAGGTATAAGGAGCTAAGACGAAGATAAAGAAGGGCTGAGAACAAGGAAAGAAGGGGATAAGGAGGGAGGGGAGGGGTGGAGAGGGGAGGAGAGGGGAGAGAGACAAGGGCAGAGAACACAACAAAGTGCGCCAGTCTGACATTTATCCAGAAGCCAGAGAGACAATTTCCGTCATAAAGCGAGATATTTCTCCAGGTCTCACCCAGAGTAATTTGTAGCAGTAAGTTGCTGCGCCTTCCTGCCCACCACCCTGCCCACCACCCACCAGGTCCTGCCCACCACCCACCAGATGTGCCCACCACCCACCAGGTCCTGCCCACCATGCCCACCACCCACCAGGTCTGCCCACCACCCACAACGTCCTACCCACCACCCTGCCCACCCACAAGGTCCTGCCCACCACCCACAAGGTCCTGTCCACCACCATGCCCACCACCCACCAGGTCCTGCCCACCACTATGCCCACCACCCACCAGGTCCTGTGAACCACCCACCAGGTCTGCCCACCACCCTGCCCACCACCCACCAGGTCCTGCCAACTACCCACCAGGTCCTGCCCACAACCCACCAGGTCCTGCCAACCACCCACCAGGTCTGCCCACCACCCTGCCCACCACCCACCAGATCTGCCCACCAGCTGGAACAAATACAGAGATCGTTTACGGCTCACATTGAGCCAGTAAAACACCTAAACTACTAGGAACGCCTGCAAGTCTTGAACATGTACTCACTGGAGCGGAGGAGAGAGAGGTACATGATAATACATACCTGGAAGGTACTCGAGGGCCTGGTCCCAAATCTGCACACTGCCATAACAACATACTGAAGTGAGAGATATGGGAGGAAGTGTAAAATAAACCCAGTGAGGAGCAGGGGTGCGGTGGGGACAATAAGGGAACACTATCAACATTCGGGGTCCCAGACTTTTCAACATCTTACCAGAAGATATCAGAAACACTGCTGGAACAAGTGTTGAAGCCTTCAAGAGGAAGCTAGACAAGTATCTTCACCAGGTGCCAGATCAACCAGGCTGTGATGTCTATGTGGGGCAGCGGGCCTCCAGCAGCAACAGCCTGGTTGACCAGGCGAGCACCAGACGAGCCTGGCCCATGGCCGGGCTCAGAGAGTAGATATACTCTCGAAATTCTTTAAAGGTATATCAAAGGTAAGGTATACCACCCACCAGGTCTGCCCACCACCCACCAGGTTCTGCCCACCACCCACCAGGTCTGCCCACCACCCACCAGGTAATGCCCACCACCCTGCCCACCACCCACTAGGTCCTGCCCAGCACCCACCAGGTCCTTCCCACCACCCACCAGGTCTGCCCACCATCCACCAGGTCCTGCCAACCACCCAGCCCAACACCCACCATGTCCTGCCCACCACCCACCAGATCCTGCCCACCACCCTGCCCATCGCCCAGCATGTCCTGCCCACCACCCTGCCCATCGCCCAGCCCACCGCCCAGCATGTCCTGCCCACCACCCTACCCACCCTCACATGTCTTGCCCACCCCCACATTAGCTCTTAAAAATAAAAGAATTAAGTGGGATTCTTCTGTGATTTTAAAAAGGAAAATTTAATTAAGCTTCATATGAGAGAGAGAGAGAGAGAGAGAGAGAGAGAGAGAGATACTGACCTCTATGCCCTGCACCTTGAGCTTCATGTGGTCTTCCCTGGTAGTCTTCCCGTCTTTACGTTTCTTCCAGCAGTAGCCGTCCCGTCGGTAGCGCACCTTCTTGCGAGAGTACAGCAACATGGAGCCACTCTTGGGCCTGCAGGAGGACGTACACTTATACACTTGAAGGACGACGTACACTTACTTATACACTTGAAGTAGGACATACACTCACTAACCTTCAAGTTGTATGCTCTTAATCCAGGAAATTAAAGCAGTAATACAATCTTAAAGAGTAGTAAATACAAAATAAAATAAAAACACAGACAGACACAGACAGACACAGACACAGACACACACACACACACACACACACACACACACACACACACACACACACACACACACACACACACACGGGGCCAGGAGCTCGGACTCGACCCCTGCAACCTCAACTAGGTGAGTACACACACACACACACACACACACACACACACACACACACACACACACACACACACACACACACACACACACACACACACACACACGACGAGAGCAATAGAGCGATGGTTGACACATTGGCTGCAATGGCCGGAAGAGCTCATGCATGCAGGGCAAAGCTCCTGATCATGGGTGATTTTAACCACAAGGAGAACTTGGACCCACATGGGGGCCAAGATACATGGATGGCTAAGATGATGGAGGTGGTACTGGAAAACTTCATGTACCAACACGTAAGGGACACTACAAGAGAGAGAGGAGAGGATGAACCAGCAAGACTGGACTTAGTATTCGCCTTGAGTAGTGCAGATATCGAGAACATCACATATGAAAGACCCCTTGGGGCCAGCGATCATGTGGTTTTAAGCTTCGAATACACAGTAGAGCTACAAGTGGAGGGGGAAGAAGGAAGGCCAGGACGAATTTTGCCGAACTACAAGAAAGGGGACTACACGGGAATGAGGAACTTCCTGAACGGGGTTCAGTGGGACAGAGAACTGGCAGGGAAGCCAGTTAATGAGATGACGGAATATGTAGCAACAATATGCAAGGAGGCTAAGGAGAGGTTTGTACCCAAGGGTAACAGGAATAATGAAAAAGTCAGGATGAGCCCATGGTTCACCCAAAGGTGCAGGGAGGCAAAAACCAAGTGTGCTAAGGAATAGAAGAAATATAAAAGGCAAAGGACCCAGGAGAATAAGGAGAGAAGTCGTAGAGCCAGAAACGAATATGCACGGATACGGGAGGCCCAACGACAATACGAAAACGACATAGCAGAGAAAGCCAAATCTGACCCGAAACTGTTATACAGCCACATCAGGAGGAAAACAACAGTCAAGGACCAGGTAATCAGGCAAAGGAAGGAAGGAGGAGAGACAACAAGAAATGACCGTGAAGTAAGTGAGGAACTCAACAAGAGATTCAAAGAAGTGTTCACAGAGGAGACAGAAGGGGCTCCAGAAAGACGGAGAGGTGGGGCACACCACCAAGTGCTGGACACAGTGCACACAACCGAGGAAGAAGTGAAGAGGCTTCTGAGTGAGCTAGATACCTCAAAGGCAATGGGGCCAGATAACATCTCCCCATGGGTCCTGAGAGAGGGAGCAGAGGCGCTATGTGTACCCCTAACAACAATATTCAATACAGCTATCGAAACAGGGAGATTGCCTGAGGCATGGAAGACAGCAAATGTAGTCCCAATCTTTAAAAAAAGAGACAGACATGAAGCACTAAACTACAGACCAGTGTCACTGACATGTATAGTATGCAAAATCATGGAGAAAATTATCAGAAGAGTGGTGGAACACCTAGAAAGGAATGATCTCATAAACAGCAGCCAACATGGTTTCAGGGACGGGAAATCCTGTGTCACAAACCTACTGGAGTTCTATGACATGGTGACAGAAGTAAGACAAGAGAGAGAGGGGTGGGTGGATTGCATATTCTTGGACTGCAAGAAGGCGTTTGACACAGTTCCACACAAGAGATTAGTGCAAAAATTGGAGGACCAAGCAGGGATAACAGGGAAGGCACTACAATGGATCAGCGAATAATTGTCAGGAAGACAGCAGCGAGTCATGGTACGTGGCGAGGTGTCAGAGTGGGCACCTGTGACCAGCGGGGTCCCACAGGGGTCAGTCCTAGGACCAGTGCTGTTTCTGGTATTTGTGAACGACATGGCAGAAGGAATAGACTCTGAGGTGTCCCTGTTTGCAGATGACGTGAAGTTGATGAGAAGAATTCACTCGATAGAAGACCAGGTAGAACTACAAAGAGATCTGGACAGGCTGCAGACCTGGTCCAGCAATTGGCTCCTGGAGTTCAATCCCACCAAGTGCAAAGTCATGAAGATTGGGGAAGGGCAAAGAAGACCGCAGACGGAGTACAGTCTAGGGGGGGCCAGAGACTACAAACCTCACTCAAGGAAAAAGATCTTGGGGTGAGTATAACACCAGGCACATCTCCTGAAGCGCACATCAACCAAATAACGGCTGCAGCATATGGGCGCCTAGCAAACCTCAGAACAGCATTCCGACACCTCAATAAGGAATCGTTCAGGATCCTGTACACCGTGTACGTTAGGCCCATATTGGAGTATGCGGCACCAGTTTGGAACCCACACCTAGCCAAGCACGTAAAGAAACTAGAGAAAGTGCAAAGGTTTGCAACAAGACTAGTCCCAGAGCTAAGAGGTATGTCCTACGAGGAGAGGTTAAGGGAAATCAAGGGACATATGCAACAGTTAGGTATCTTTATTATGAAACGTTTCGCCTACACAGTAGGCTTCTTCAGTCAAGTACAGAAAAGTTGATAGAAGCAGAAGATACTTGAAGACGATGTAATCAGTCCATCACCCTAACTGTTGCATATGTGTCTTACCTAACAACCTGTCGGTATTTTATACCATTTTAATGTTCAAGGGAAATCAACCTGACGACACTGGAGGACAGGAGAGATAGGGGGGACATGATAACGACATACAAAATACTGAAAGGAATTGACAAGGTGAACAAAGACAGGATGTTCCAGAGATTGGACACAGTAACAAGGGGACACAGTTGGAAGTTGAAGACACAGTTGAATCACAGGGATGTTAGGAAGTATTTCTTCAGCCACAGAGTAGTCAGTAAGTGGAATAGTTTGGGAAGCGATGTAGTGGAGGCTTTAAGCAGAGGTATGATAAAGCTCACGGTTCAGGGAGAGTGACCTAGTAGCGACCAGTGAAGAGGCGGGGCCATGAGCTTGGACTCGACCCTTGCAACCTCAACTAGGTGAGTACACACACAACAAGACTAGTCCCAGAGCTACGGGGATTGTCCTACGAAGAAAGGTTGAGGGAAATCGGCCTGACGACACTGGAGGCCAGGAGGGTCAGGGGAGACATGATAACGACATATAAAATACTGCGCGGAATAGACGAGGTGGACAAAGACGCGATGTTCCAGAGATGGGACACAGACACAAGAGGTCACAATTGGAAGTTGAAGACTCAGATGAATCAAAGGGATGTTAGGAAGTATTTCTTCAGTCATAGAGTAGTCAAGCCGTGGAATAGCCTAGAAAGTGAAGTAGTGGAGGCGGGAACCATACATAGTTTTAAGGCGAGGTATGATAAAGCTCATGGGGCAGGGAGAGAGAGGACCTAGTAGCAATCAGTGAAGAGGCGGGGGCCAGGAGCTATGACTCGACCCCTGCAACCACAAATAGGTGAGTACAAATATGTGAGTACACAGTTTTAAGAAGAGCTATGATAGGGCTCGCGCAACCAGGAGGAAGCCCAATAGCAACTAGCAGGTCCAGGGGCTGTGACTCGACATGTGCAGCCACATACAAGAGAGTACAACCAAGAGTACACATTCCAGAGCTTTGAACTTGAGGAGATCAATATTGTGTCTAGACTCCAGCTGCTGGACAATACTGTCATGTCTCACCCACTGTATGACCCAGCTGCTGGACAATACTGTCATGTCTAACCCACTGTATGACCCAGCTGCTGGACAATACTGTCATGTCTCACCCACTGTATGACCCAGCTGCTGGACAATACTGTCATGTCTCACCCACTGTATGACCCAGCTGCTGGACAATACTGTCATGTCTCACCCACTGTATGACCCAGCTGCTGGACAATACTGTCATGTCTCACCCACTGTATGACCCAGCTGCTGGACAATACTGTCAAGTCTCACCCACTGTATGACCCAGCTGCTGGACAATACTGTCATGTCTCACCCACTGTATGACCCAGCTGCTAGACAATACTGTCATGTCTCACCCACTGTATGACCCAGCTGCTAGACAATACTGTCATGTCTCACCCACTGTATGACCCAGCTGCTGGACAATACTGTCATGTCTCACCCACTGTATGACCCAGCTGCTGGACAATACTGTCATGTTTCACCCACTGTATGACCCAGCTGCTGGACAATACTATCATGTCTCACCCACTGTATGACCCAGCTGCTGGACAATACTGTCATGTCTCACTGTATGATTCAGCTGCTGGACAACTGTCATGTCTCACTGTATGATTCAGCTGCTGGACAATACTGTCATGTCTCACTGTATGACCCAGCTGCTGGACAATACTGTCATGTCTCACCCACTGCACGACCCAGCTGCTGGACAATACTGTCATGTCTCACCCACTGCACGACCCAGCTGCTGGACAATACTGTCATGTCTCACCCATTGTATGACCCAGCTGCTAGACAATACTGTCATGTCTCACCCACTGTATGACCCAGCTGCTGGACAATACTGTCATGTCTCACCCATTGTATGACCCAGCTGCTAGACAATACTGTCATGTCTCACCCACTGTATGACCCAGCTGCTAGACAATACTGTCATGTCTCACTGTATGATGCAGCTGCTAGACAACACTGTCATGTCTCATCCACTGTATGACCCAGCTGCTAGACAATACTGTCATGTCTCACCCACTGTATGACCCAGCTGCTAGACAATACTGTCATGTCTCACTGTATGATCCAGCTGCTGGACAATACTGTCATGTCTCACCCACTGTATAACCCAGCTGCTGGACAATACTGTCATGTCTCACCCACTTTTTGACCCAGCTGCTATGGCATTATGGCAGTATGGTGTTATGGCAGTGTGCACACGTGAGACAGAGCCCCTCAAGTACTTTCCAAGTACGTATTACCGTGTACATCTCTCCTCCGCTCCAGTGAGTACATATTTAGAACTTTTGGGTGCTCCCAGTTATTTAAATGCTTTATTGAGTCTTATAAGTGCCGTAAACGCTCTCTATAACTGTTCCGGCTCTGATATTTCTGCTGCCCTGAACGAGGCCGTCATCACTGAGAAATATTCACCACTGACCTACATAGCTCCTCCAAACAACACAAAGTACTCAGTACTCACCCTAATGTTATTTTGTATTTCAGTAACAGGAATTATGCTCAGATTCCAGTCATTTACAATACAACTCCAGCCATTTTGAGATAACTGTCTATTGCACACCATTCAATGATATAAATTATATTCAGTTTATGGCTGCAAATAAAATTCTTCGTCTCATTATGGCTGCTTTTCAAGCGCCTTTTCAGACATTTTTTATATATGTCTGACGCTGTTTTCATATTAGGAATTTTTTCAGATAAATGTTTTCCGTCTAGCTGGAGTAATTATGCTAATGATCTTATATTGCGAGAGTGAGGCTGGATCAGCCTATGACCGAGCTCCTTGCTACTTTTGTCTCTTGTTGGGTGCTGCTGTCACTGCTGGTGCTGTTGGTGTTGCTGTTGTTGGTTCTGTTATTGGTGTTGCTATTGTTGGTGCTGCTGCTGTTGTTGGTGCTGCTGCTGTTGTTGGTGCTGCTGCTGTTGTTGGTGCTGTTGGTGTTGCTGTCACTGCTGTTGGTGTTGCTGTCACTGTTGTTGGTGTTTCTGCCACTGCTGTTGGTGTTGCTGTCACTGCTGCTGCTGTTGGTGCTGCTGTTGGTGCTGCTGCTGTTGGTGCTGCTGTTGGTGCTGCTGCTGCTGTTGGTGCTCCTGTCACTGCTGCTGCTGTTACTCCTGCTGCAGTTGGTGCTGTTGCTTCTGTAAGTGCTGTTCTTATTAAAAGTTGTTTTTGTTGTCACTGCTGTTGGTTCTGTAAGTGTTGTTCTTATTAAAAGTTGTTGTTGTTGCCCTTGCTGTTGTTGTTGCCCTTGCTGTTGTTGTTGTATGTTACTGTATTCCATGTTGTGTGTTACTGTATTCCATGTTATGTGTTACTGTATGCCATGCTGTTGTGTTACTGTATTCAGTGTTGTGTGTCACTGTATTCCATGTTCTTGTTGTCTGTTACTTTATTCCATGTTGTTGGGTGTCTTGCTGCTGCTAGTGCTGTTAAAATTAACTAATGTTATCGACTGACTGAAGAAGAGATCCTGGAAGATAACACACACAGCAGCCATCTTGCATGACGCTGCGTAATGTCCTCAACTGGCCATGAAAATTTACCATCATTTTATGCCAAGAACTTTTGTGTAATTGTACACCACTACTATTATTATTATTATTATTATTATTATTATTATTATTATTTGCTGCTGCTGCTGCTGCTGCTGCTGCTGCTGCTGCTGCTGCTGCTGCTGCTGCTGCTGCTGCTGCTGCTGCTGCTGCTGCTGCTGCTGCTGCTGCTGCTGCTGCTGCTGCTGCTGCTGCTGCTGCTGCTGCTGCTGCTGCTGCTGCTGCTGTGCTGCTGCTGCTGCTGCTGCTGCTGCTGCTGCTGCTGCTGCTGCTGCTGCTGCTGCTGCTGCTGCTGCTGCTGCTGCTGCTGCTGCTGCTGCTGCTGCTGCTGCTGCTGCTGCTGCTGCTGCTGCTGCTGCTGCTGCTGCTGCTGCTGCTGCTGCTGCTGCTGCTGCTGCTGCTGCTGCTGCTGCTGCTGCTGCTGCTGCTGCTGCTGCTGCTGCTGCTGCTGCTGCTGCTGCTGCTGCTGCTGCTGCTGCTGCTGCTGCTGCTGCTGCTGCTGCTGCTGCTGCTGCTGTGTGCTGCTGCTGCTGCTGCTGCTGCTGCTGCTGCTGCTGCTGCTGCTGCTGCTGCTGCTGCTGCTGCTGCTGCTGCTGCTGCTGCTGCTGCAGCAGCTGCAGCGAGTCAGACTTCCACCCGATCCTTACACCCATCTATCTCTACTCTCGTTCATTCTATAATCTATTCCCCCACTTCCCCCGTCTATATATTATCTAACTATTCTATCTCACTGTTTCCTTTCTAAGTATTCCACTCAAATTCCCTCTCTAGCTGTAACCTCATTTCCCCTCTATTTCTTCTCTAACTGTTCCTTCTCTACTCACTAACTCACTAACTCACTCACTCACTCACTCACTAACTCACTCACTCACTCACTCACTCACTAACTCACTCACTCACTCACTCAAAGATTTTACAGCATAACTTTCAACAAGAAATATTTTAGAATACACGAGGAAACTATGTTCAATGCAAGTTGTGAAGGCTCGATCCTCTGTCTGCTAATAGTGGAGTGTAATACTAAATGCACCTCTACTTTGTCTTGTGTAGCAGCGTAGGAACCACGGGCCCAGCGTGGGAACCACGGGACCATCGTGGGAATCACGGGCCCAGCGTGGGAACCACGGGTCCAGCGTGGGAACCAAGGGCCCAGCGTAGAAACCACGGGCCCAGCGTGGGAACCACGGGCCCAGCGTGGGAACCACGGGCCCAGCGTGGGAACCACTTGCCCAGCGTGGGAACCACGGGCCCAGCGTGGAAACCACGGGACCATCGTGGGAGTCACGGGCCCAGCGTGGGAACCACGGGCCGAGCGTAGAAACCACGGGCCCAGCGTGGGAACCACGGGCCCAGCGTAGGAACCACGGGCCGAGCGTGGGGACCACTGTGGGAACCACGGGCCCAGCGTAGGAACCACGGGCCGAGCGTGGGGACCACTGTGGGAACCACGGGCCCAGCGTGAGAACCATGGGACCATTGTGGGAACCACGAGCCCAGCGTGGGAACCACGGGCCCAGCGTGTGAACCACGGGACCACTGTGGGAACCACGGGACCATTGTGGGAACCACGGGCCCAGCGTGGGAACCACGGGACCATTGTGGGAACCACGGGCCCAGCGTGGGAACCACGGGACCATTGTGGGAACCACGGGCCCAGCGTGGGAACCACGGGCACAGCGTGGGAACCACGGGACCATTGTGGGAACCACGGGACTATTGTGGGAACCACGGGCCCAGCGTGGAAACCACGGGACCATTGTGGGAACCACGGGCCCAGCGTGGAAACCACGGGCCCAGCGTGGAAACCACGGGCCCAGCGTGAGAACCGTGGGACCATTGTGGGAACCACGGGCCCAGCGTGGAAACCAAGGGCCCAGCTTGGAAACCAAGAGACCATTGTGGGAACCACGGGCCCAGCGTGAGAACCATGGGACCATTGTGGGAACCACGGGCCCAGCGTGAGAACCATGGGACCATTGTGGGAACCACGGGCCCAGCGTGAGAGCCAGCTTCACACTACACTCATCAAGCGGATTCGCCCCCCACAGCCTTAATTTGCCACAAGTTTAAATAGAAATTTCACGGACGAACGAAAGCCAGTCTCACCGTCCAGACTTAAGAGTGGCTTCCAAGATTTATATATCCCAGGACTAGGAGACTACACACACACACACACACACACACACACACACACACACACACACACACACACACACACACACACACACACACACACACACACAGTATATAGATAAGCAGGATACAGTAATCGAAAAATTTAACACCAACCTAACAGCATTCAACACTTAGAGAGAGAGAGAGAGAGAGAGAGAGAGAGAGAGAGAGAGAGAGAGAGAGGGACTCACCTGATTTTTACTTCTTTGGAGAGCCAATCAATGTGTCTGTCGAAGCTGATGAGCAAGGAGGCGATTTCCTGCGAGGAAAGAAGGAAGACATTAGGGAGTGGGGCAACATAAGCCCTAATCTGAGAGCTTCATTTGTGGTATCATGTGGACCAAACATGACGACGCAGCCCGTCACGGTACATGGTGTATAGATGGAAGACTCCAGGAGGTTGCAGGGAGGGACGTAGTTAAGGAAAGAGAAAGACGGAACGAGAGATGGAAGGAATAGAGAGGGAAAGAGGGAGTTAAGAAATGAGGAAGGTTTAAAGGGAAGGAAATGAATGTTAAGGAGGGCAGTGAGGATTTGGGAAGTGAGGAGAGGTTGGCATTGAGGAGAGTGGTTGGGAAGGAGAGGATTTAAGCGAGAAGATCTGGTGGGGGGGATAAGCAAGAGGAAAGAGAACAGTCATTAGAGATCATTAATTTCTCGGACTCCTCATACCTTTGATATACCTTTGAAGAATTTCGAGAGTTTATCTACTCTCTGAGCTCGGCCATGGGCCAGGCTCGTCTGGTGCTTGCCTGGTCAACCAGGCTGTTGCTGCTGGAGGCCCGCTGCCCCACATAGCCATCACAGCCTGGTTGATCTGGCACCTGGTGAAGATACTTGTCCAGTTTCCTCTTGAAGGCTTCAACACTTGTTCCAGCAGTGTTTGATATCTTCTGGTAAGATGTTGAAAAGTCTGGGACGCCGGATGTTGATACAGTGTTCCCTTATTATCCCCACCGCACCCCTGCTCCTCACTGGGTTTATTTTACACTGCATTAAGAGAACAAGTAACCAGCCAGATCTTCAAAGAATCGAGCCAACTGATAAATGAAAGCTCTCACAAGCAACTTGTTACGGTACACGCTGTCCACAAAGTCCTTTTCCGATTTTAAATATTTTTTCAAGGGTAACAGATAAGAAACTGCAGTTTTCTGTACGTAACTAATGAACTAGCAAGTGTTTTACAGAGCTTCATGCTGTCCACCCCTCAAGGGAGGTTCCTTGATACTGGTGAGGGGCTCCGGTTCCCTGAATTGAGTCTGAATACCTCCACCCCCCACATGCGCTGTATAATCCTACGGGTTTAGTGCTCCCCTATGATTATAATTATTATAATTCACGTTGTCCAATCTGAGTAGCCTCAGCGTGTGCACCTCTAGTGGCCAGTAACACAACTACAGTAAATGATACGCTAGTTTATTTCACGTACTGGTCAACAGTTTTCCAATGCCATCATTTACTCTAGCACAGAGTGTTTTAATGTCAGCTATTGACGCCTGCAAAACATAATCCTTCACAGACTCCCCTCAAGAAGAAGTCCAATGACTTGACGTCAGGGGAGCGTGGACTGGACATTAACGGAGCCATCATTGACCAATCTATCTACAAGACATCTTTATCTACTGATAATTCATCTACTGTATGCATATCACTGTCATATCGTTGACAGTGATATGCATACAATACAATACACTAAGAACCCCGAACTAGCAGTGAGGAACAGAGGCCTCAGAGAGACATTTACAGAATACTGTGTCAACATACATGACCAAAACTCTTGGTATACACAATACCGACACACTGATGAGCAAGACATGCCTAACACTTGGTTATCTTTATTGCTGAAACGTTTTGCCTGCAATGTTTCTGACATCTGCTACCAGGGGACGTAAGAAACCTTGCTGGAACCAACATGGAAAGTGTTCAAGGGGAAACTAGACAGCTGTCCCCTAAAAGTGCCTCACCAACCGGATTGTCAGAGCTCCATGAAGTGTCCTCTCCCACCCACACCCCTCCAATAACACCCCCCTCTCCATCCTATCACCCTACAATCCCACTACATTAACATCACCACTCTCCTACTAACACCACACAAACCCACTCCACAAATAACACAGCACTTCCCTTCCCTCCCGCCACTACGGCAAGTGTTGCAGGTTGATCATTAACAAACTATTTCACACAAGGCTTGGCGCAGCCTTGCTTCCACACGTAGGAACACAACTCATCCACTCTTACATATGATAATCATCCATTACAATCAATTATATTCCACCATCCAATAGCTGGTGATTTGGTTTGTTTATTATATTTAAATTTAGCCTATCGACCTCACAACGGGTTAAGACTGTCGTCACCTGATCGGCCTCGCAAAGGGTTAAGACTGTCACGTGATCGATCTCACAAAGGGTTAAGATTGTCACCTGATCGACCTCACAAAGAGTTCACTGAGGCTGCAGTTTAGCTGTACACATCCAGTATGGTTTAGAAAGACACGTAAGCTAACACTATAACATATTTATTAGAAAACGTTTCGGTCCTGGGACCTTGATCACTTCTAACATAGAGGTAGAAAGACATTATATATATATAGGCGGAGAGTGATGTGTGACGCACGTGACCTGACATCACTCTCCACCTATATATATAATGTCTTTCTACCTCTGTATGTTAGAAGTGATCAAGGTCCCAGGACCGAAACGTTTTCTAATAAATATGCTATAGTGTTTGCTTACGTGTCTTTCTAAACCAACTTGTCGGTATTTATTACCAAGGTTTATACCACATCCAGTATATACCTTAAACCCTAAAATAGGGGTTAAAATATACACAGTGACACATACACACCTCCAAGTGTCCATGTATACTACAACTCTTAATACACACACACCAAGTGCCCATGTATACTACAACTCTTAATACACACACACCAAGTGTCCATGTATACTACAACTCTTAATACACACACACACCAAGTGTCCATGTATACTACAACTCTTAATACACACACACCAAGTGTCCATGTATACTACAACTCTTAATACACACACACCAAGTGTGATGTTCTTCAGACTACACACAAGTGGCCGGCAGCTTCTCCTCGCATCAAGCAGCGGAAGTTTTACTACAAAAACGTACTGACATTTACTTGATAAATATCCCGTGTAGGCGAAACGACGTAGTAATAAGCAAAAAAAAAAAATGTTACTGAGTATTTTAAACTGGTTCTGAACCTGTTTTCAAGTTCTTTCTCTACCACCACCGGTTTTGCATCTTAATGTGTGTTTTATACCGGTTTTGAACAGGTTTTAAATCTCTCTCTCTCTCTCTCTCTCTCTCTCTCTCTCTCTCTCTCTCTCTCTCTCTCTCTCTCTCTCTCTCTCTCTCTCTCTCTCCCCACCCCTGGCTTACCTGGAAGTTACCTGGAGGTTATTCCGGGGATCAACGCCCCCGCGGCCCGGTCCATGACCAGGCCTCCCGATGGATCAGGGCCTGATCAACTAGGCTGTTACTGCTGGCCGCACGCAGTCCAACGTACGAGCCACAGCCCGGCTGATCAGGCACTGACTTAAGGTATCTGTCCAGCTCTCTCTTGAAGGCAGCCAGGGGTTTATTGGCAATTCCCCTAATGCTTGATGGGAGGCTGTTGAACAGTCTTGGGCCCCGGACACTTATGGTGTTTTCCCTTAGTGTACCAATGGCGCCCCTACTTTTAACTGGGGGCATTTTGCATCGCCTGCCCAGTCTTTTACTTTCGTAGGGAGTGATTTCTGTGTGCAGATTTGGGACCATTCCTTCCAGGATTTTCCAAGTGTAGATTATGATATATCTCTCCCTCCTGCGTTCCAACGAGTACAAGTCAAGTGCTTCCAAGCGTTCCCAGTAGTTAAGGTGCTTGACAGAACTTATACGTGCAGTAAAGGATCTCTGTACACTCTCCAGATCTGCCATTTCACCTGCTTTGAATGGAGATGTTAATGTACAGCAGTATTCCAGCCTAGAGAGAACAAGTGATTTGAAAAAGGATCATCATTGGCTTGGCATCTCTCGTTTTGAACGTTCTCATTATCCATCCTATCATTTTCTTTGCACGTGTGATCGTGGCACTTTATTCCGCTTCACTGATGATCATCTCTTCCGAATTATTTTTTCCTTTAATAACTCGACAAACTAAAGCAAATTTCGACTGTACTTTGCATTCTCGAGTAACTTTTTTTTTTTAAACTGCCTGTATCCCTTATTTATCCCGAATCTATCCTTTGTCTCCTTGTCACCTTGAGGTTTAATCTACCGTACTTTTCCTGGGCTCTATCAAGCCCTGTTATACATGTTCGTAAAGCTGTGTATGTGGATCCTGCCTCGACCACTTCACTCTCCTGGTCGTTCCTCTTACTGACTATTCTGCAGACTGGGGAAATATTTCCCAATATCCCAGCCAATAGAAACTGCCATCCACGGCTCTGCCCGCATCCAGCAGAAATTGCCATCCACTGCCCTGCCATCCAGTTGTTTTGCATCCAGCAGAAACTTCCATCCAACACAAACTGCCATCAACTGCCCTGTTATCCAGCAGAAACTGCCATCCAACACAAACTGCCATCAACTGCCCTGTTATCCAGCAGAAATTGCCATCCACTGCCCTGCCATCCACTGCATTAACAAGCAGCAGGGACTCTGGGAAAGAATTGGATTGAAAATAATTTTTTTTGTTGGGGGGAAGAGGGGGATGCAATTCCCTCGCGAAATACAGAAATAGCAATTGAACTAATTAGCGAAATAAATGACCAGCAAATTCACCTCGTCGCGAAAAATGGCGCGCGCGCTAAAAGGCTCTCACAGACACCATTGACACAACAGACCACCGCTGACGTGTCTGTTGAAATAGTTGACTTATATAACAGACCACCGTTGACATGTCTGAAACAGCTGACTCACATAACAGATCACCGTTGACTATGTTAAAACAGCTGACTCACATAACAGATCACCGTTGACTGTATGTTAAAACAGCTGACTCACGATTAGCCAGGGGAGTAATGTAGTGTAGCAAACAAGGGTAGATTAGCCAGGAAAAGTAGATTAAGTGTAACACCGGTAGATTAGCCAGGGAAGGTAGATAAGGCGGTGGTAGTTTGACTGGTGCGGTGAGTAGAGTATGGTAGTAAATTTGGAATGTGGGAGAGGGGAGGGGATCTGGTATCAGTCACCAGGAAGCTGGTTGTCAGTCACCAGGAAGCTGGTTGTCAGTCACCAGGAAGC